CTTAGATATGATCCTGTAGTCAAAATACCACGGCATTTAACATGCATGAAAACTGAACACAAGCTGAAAGAACCACACAAATAAAATACTCAAAGCAAGTAAACAGGAGTAGGGTGAGTGACAGACAGCCTTGCCAAGTGTGGCGAAGGTGGCGAGGTTTAAGCAGGGAGCACCCCAAGTCCCCGGAGCCCTGGTGGTCTAGTAGTTAGAGTTGGGCTGTTATCTACAGGGGCAGTGGTTCAAGAACACCCGCTCTGCGGGAGAAAGATGGAGCTTCTACCCTAGGGTCACTATGAGTCCGCGGGGCTCGATGGCAGTTTGTTGTTTTGGTTTTTTGACCCTGAATCCCCAGAAGCCAAATCTGTGGGAGGGTGGGGTGGGGGGTCAGGGCCAGGGTCGGGCCTGGGGTGGGAAGCAGAGCTGGAGCCTGAGCAGGAGCTGAGGCTCAGCAGTGGGAGAGAGGAGGGGGGCGCTGGCTGGAGGAGAGAAGGACCCCTCGGAGCACAGGTGGGCGAAAAGCACCCAAGTTCACCTTTCAGCGCCTCTTTCATCTCAACGCGCTCCCTTTCGCTGAATTGAGAAGGGATTCGCCACGGGCCCGGTGGCTCCTTGCCCCGTAGACCCTTCGACCTGGAGATGGTGACGATGCCCAGCAGCAACACGGCCGCCAGGACCAACACGCAGACGGATCGCCCGGCCATGCTTGTGGCGTCTCCGCGGCCAGTCTTCGGCTGGAGTTTGGACCCAAAGCCTGTCGCGGCTTTAATTCCCGCAATATGCTTTAGGCCCACCCCATCCCTGGAGTGGCCAATCATGGCTCGGCTGGGGCTGTGAGCCAACCAATCGAAGGGATAGCTCCGCCTCAAGCTCGAAAGGCCTTTTGGGGGTTGTAGTTTATTTTGCCTCCTGGACCCAATCGCCGTCCGAACTAAGGTGGAATTGAGTTCCAGGTGAGGCGACTTTCCAGTCCATACTTCATCTGCGTTGGGAAACTCGTAAATCACTTGCTGTAGGATAATAAAGTGAAACGAAAATCACCGATTGCTTCTTCGGAAGCGTAGGCCCTATCTTCTCCGTAAATTCCATGGGGAGCTCTCCTGAACCCCTGGCTGGATTTCATCTGAAATTGGAATGCATGCTGTTCTGTCTATAGACACTGTTTTGAAAGGGGGTTCTCTCCCGTTTTGGAATTTTATGATATTAAATATCACAATATGATATTAAAGCTAACACTTGTGATTCTGTAACTCTAGCCCCTGGGGGGTGTAGTGGCTACGCCTTGGGTTGCTGGCCGCCAAGTCAGCAGATCCCACTCAGCAGATGCGCTGCTGCGTTTTCTGCTCCCGTGAAGATTTTACAGGCTCGGAAACCCACACGGGCAGCTCTACTTTGTCCATAGAGTCATTTTAAGTTGGAATCCACTTGACGGCAGTGAGTTTTATTGGTTTGTTGAACAAAATGCGATCACTTAAGCATTTCTAGACAAATGACTGCAAATCAGTGAGAGAATTTGGACGCAATTACAAATACTAAGCGAACTGAAATGTCATACCACCTGAGAGTAGAGGTTCATTCTGGAAGGGAAAAACCCCTCTTACAGCACAGACATAAAATTCGGTCTCTTGGCATCATCAGAACCTGTACCTGCTAGGCCCCTGAGGCACTTCCATTTGGCACCACTGTCCTCACATTTTAGGGTCTCCAGAAAGTTCAGAAAATGTTACAGTCAGTCAGGCCAGTCAGCTCTTTGTGACCAAAGCTGCAAGCACAATCCCAGTCACAGTTCAGAGGAGTGTGTGGTAGTTAATGATTTCATGCCAACTTGAAGATACATAAAAGAATAGGGGAGGAATCCAACCCTTCAATCAGACTCAGCTTGATGACATCTCCTTGGGGGCGTGGCCTTCTTATACGTGTGTGTGTGTGTGTGTGTGTGTGTGTGTGTGTTGGGGTGGGGGTGGGGCGCTGGGAACCTCTGTCTTTTTATTCCTTTGCCTTCCTGCTTGATGGGATTCTCCTACTGACCCTGAGAACTGATGGTGTGGGGCAAGGTCTCTACCAACTTTGGTCCACACAACTCTGCCCACTGGTCTGTGGTCGTCCTGCATTCTGCACCATTGTATATGGCTGTGTGCCTCTGACGAGGGACTTAGGGATTAGCATCAATTTATGGAGGTGAGTTGGACTGGGCTGGGATGCCGTCTTCATTAGTTACTTCTTGATACAAAGTCTTCCTTAGACATAGCCGAGTGTCGCTGCATTTGTTTTGCTAGACACTCGGCCTATCCCAGAGTGCTTTGTTCTCGTCTTTGCATTAATTCTACTTGAAAGCAAAAATGAAACCCGATAGTCATGTAGTTCTCAATAGTCAATCTAAAAGACATTATAGATTATTAGAAATGTGTGAAGAATAATGCTCGTATAATAAAAATCCTTATATTTGTCAGCCAGTTTAACAATCGAAATGAATTTTTAAAGTGTGACGATTATACTCTGATTTCTCTTCAGATCATATAAATCTTTCGCCTTTTACTAAAAAAAAATTTTTTTTTAAATTAAGTGTGATTATTGACAGGATTTTTAACAAAAGTACTTTGATTTCTATCAAATTTAAGAATTTTTATAAGAGTTGTATGATCCCCTAATAAAACGATTTTTAAAAGAATTTTTATTTTAAATTTAATAAACACTTGTGAGTCATTTGGAAATTGTGAAAAAATAAATTATGTCATCCCAATACCCAGAAGTATTCACTCATGGTGTTTTCACGTGTCATCTGACTTTTTTCTCTGCACATAATGTTCACATATGAAGTCTGTATTTTTAAATGAAACAGGTACACACAATGTTCTATTTTATGCTTTAAAACTATATCAAGAATATTCCCCCATCCTTATAACCCTTTATTTTCTTTGCGTGTGTAAGAGAAAGCAATTATATATCAAGAAGCAATTATACATTTCAGATCAAGTCCATAAGCCTGATATTATCCCATATGTCGATAATAGTCCATAAATTCCTCTTTAGACACACGCAGCCATGCAATGATGCCGAACGCAGGAAGATCACAGGCCAGTAGGTGGAAAGTCTTGTGAATCCAGCAGTGGTGGGAGCATTTCAGAGCTGCCGTGGGTCTCCATGTAGCTCCTCCAGCTCCAGGGCTCTGGTTCTATCAGCATAGCTCCATGTAACTTGTCAACAGGAATGTCTCACAGGGAGCGCAGTGTGCCTTTTAAACAAATAATAAAACAAATGCCTGGGACCTTTACCTCTCCACATTGTCAATGTTGACAGTGTGGGTGCCCTATTAAATACTTTACACAGATTACATATGTTGGACAATATGAAAGTAGGTAAAAAAATGTTGCTAAAAATTAAAGCCAACGATGATGTTAAAAGAACCAAATGCTGACAAGGCTGTGGAGAGACTGGATCTCTTATTCACTGCTGTTGGACCTGTAAACATGTGGAAAATGACATAGTGATAATTAAAGCAACTAGCAATAGAGATACCATAAGATTGGTGGTGGGTTCAAATAATTTAACAACCATTTCACCCGCTGCCCTATTGACTGTTTTAAGTATGAAAAATGGTTAGGTTACTTCTCTTCTCTGAACATACTATGTTCATCTTTGAGGAGCCCCTTCCACTTCTGCTGAACTTACAGCAATTGCTCTGGCAATCATTTCAGCTCTTTGAACACTTTCAGGAAGTGCATAATTCACTCATAATATCTGGTGGGATACCTATGGATGAAATGAACGTTACTATAGGGCAGTGGTTCTCAACCTTCCTCATGCTGCGACCCTTTATTATAGTTCCTCATGCTGTGATGACCCCCCCAACCATAACATTATTGTCTTTGTTACTTCATCACTATAATTTTGCTACCATTATGAATCAGACGATCCCTGTGAAAGGGTCTTTTGACCCCCAAAGGGGTCTCGACTCACAGGTTGAGAACCACTGCTATAGGGGCTTAGAATGTGCTGTTGCACAGATGAAGATTCAAAAAGAGTAAGGAATGTACATTTGTGATTTCCATAGTGTGTGGCTGCTCAGCTGCCCCCTTAGAGTGTTACTGCCGGCTTTCCCTTGGCCCCAGGAACAGAGAGGCAGAGTCACCGAGGCTGCAAACAACAAAGGAGTTTATTGGCTAGCTCGAGCTAGGGCCCAAGTCCCAGAGCACCAACGCAGTGGCCTCCTCGGAGACGAGGACCCCGGCCTGGGGCACCAGCCAAGCTTTTATACTTTTTGCAGGTTACATAAGCTGGGTGAAACTATTCCCCCTCAC